CCAAACACACCGCCTCCTCTTCTCCCGCCTCGGAGCGCGCCTGTCACACCCCCGCCGCGTCCCCCTGGTCCCCCAGTCCCGCAGGCCGCCCCTCGGCGCCTGTCCCCGCCGCTTTTTTATTTTTTGGTTGTTGCTGTCTTTCCCCCTTTCTTTTCCTCTACTCTTCCATGCGTCTCCCCCAGCACGTCTTTTATCGCGGCTGACTCGTCCGCATTCCTCCCTCTTTTCTCCGGTTTTCCGCCCTCATTCTCTTTCCCCATCCCTCTCCCCTCACTTCTCTCTCCTGCCTCCTCCAGTCCCCCCCCACCCCCCACCCTTCGGAGGCCGCCGCGCCCCGTCTCGGCTCCGCAGCACCGACTCGCATCAGCGATCACCGCGCTCCCTCGACCTCGCTCCGCGCCGCGCCCAGGATCTCGCCAGCCCCCGTGGGAAGCCGGGCTTGTTGACCCAGCCGAGCGCTCACGTGAAACCCCCGCCGGATGCTGCCCTTTCCTGGCCTCTGGGTACCCCCCTCCCCGCGCACTCCACCCCCAAGCCTTCGCTTGGGAAAACCTGGCCGAGGCCAAGTACGTGGGTGATAAGCCCCCCAAACTTCTCTCCTTCCGTCAGGCCCCGCCTGAGGGATCTCTAGCAAACCGGCTAACTTGGGTTTCTTCCCGAGGGGGGGGGGGGGAGAGACAATCCCGACCCCGCTCTCACTGTGGGGGCCAGGGGACCTAGGGCTGTAGGCTGTGAAGTGCTGCACACAAGCAGGTCATTTCCAGGACAGAGTGATGGAGTAAGATGAAGGCACCCGGAGGCAGGAGCGAGTGGGAGACGAAAAGGAGGGACTGGGAGCGTCGGGTCAGATGCGAGAGGCGCGGTCCAGTTTCCGCGTGGCTCGGGGCATCCTCGCCGGGTCCGTGCAGTCTGCGTGGCCTCTGGGACGGGCGGCGTCCAGGGCTCCTCGGGCCCCGCGGCCTCACCGCCCGTCCCAGGGGGTGGTGGGCTGGACAGGAGCGCTGAGGGCGAGGAGGGACGCCGGCATCAGCGGTTGCCGCTCTCGGGAGATGAACAGCGGGGCAGACCCGGGTCCTGGGCCTCAGGAGCCTCTCGAGAACGTGGGGGAGGGAGGCGAAGTGGGGCTCGGAACTAAGGAGGCAGCGGTGAGAAAGGAGGTGTAGGATAGGGCTCGTTCAGCCCCTTCTCCGCCCCCCCAAACTGCAGAGCAGCCGGGAGGGCTGGCAGAACCCAGACTGTCCCCGTTCCCGGCTGGATCCCTCCTCGGGGCTGACCCTCCAGGCGCTTTGCTCAGAAGAAAAGCCTATCCCGTGAAAACCGGCTCCTGGGCCTTCCCCAAGCGTGTCTGGGGGGAGGTGGGAGCGCCCTGGGGCGCCGAGTCCGAGTCCAGAGTTTACGGGACCTGGGGAGGTGCGGGTGTGCGTAGAGGGAAGGTTGTTGCTCTCCGCAGAGCAGCCGTCGGTTTAAATGCAGAGCTGAGCTGAGCTGAGCTGAGCTGAGAGGCCTCGGAGAATTTGGAAAGCTCGGTCAGTTTCCTCTCCACGTCTCTGTGCCCAATTACATTTTAAAATAAAAACTCAGTGGAAACCAAGAAAACATCCATCTAGTCACTAGATTCTAGTGTGCTGTGCCCCTGGAGGCGTTAAACCTGGACTTTAAACCTAGAAGCCAGAGCCAGGAGGCGCGCCTGGAGTGGTGCGCCCTGACCTCCTGGTAGCCGCTTGGGTTGGTTCCCGCGGACCTGTTTACTAGCCATCTGGACACAGGGACGAGCAGAGGCCACTGTCCCAGAGCCGGCATCCTGTCTCACCCTCGCTCCTCTGCCACGCTGCCCCCCCTCTCTAAAAGGGAGGGTTCCCTTGA